GGGGGGGCGGGGCGCCCCCGTGCTGACAGAGCCCCTTCACGGAGCAGGGACAGCCAGGTTGGAATGTGTTTACCTTTGGCCCAACCCGATTTCCTGCTTTTTAGAGAAGGGGCTCCGGCCTCTGACAGGCTCCCGGCCCGCCACCCAGAGGCGTTTTCAGAATGCCCGCGCTGAGTTAAGTGTCTCCAGCAAACAGGGGCTTGGATTTCAGTCCCCCCCCTCCGCAGCACGGGCGCCGCAGGGGTGCCCCCCCCACCCCGCAGCGAAGATGTGGGGGAGGGGAGAGGAGGGGGTCTGCGGAAGCCCAGCCCACGGCGGGGGGCCTTCCACCCCACCCCCCAGAGGCCCCACTGGAAACTGGGGGAGGGGGTCTTCAACCTGGACCCTCCCCCAGCAGAGCGAACCCTCCAGCTTTGAGGAAGTAAGACTCCAGTGGCAGGGGGTCCCTGCAGAACCCCCCATGCCCGTGTCCACAGGCGTGTCTCTGTGTCCACATGTCCCTCGTGGTGCCCCCAGGGCTGTGAGTGAGGTGCTCGAGGCACGCATGGGGGCCCTGTCCTCTTTGGGGCGCCCTGTGGGGTCTGCGGGCTTTTGTGTGGCCCAGCCCCATGTGGGGGCTGGTGTCCCTGGAGGGGGGACATCTGAGCCCTGCTGTGTGTGTGTCCTGTGCCTTTGTGAGGCTTGTGTCTCTGCACGGATTTAATGACCCAAGAGCCCACTTTCGGGCAGGGATTACGGACAGCTGAGGGGCGGAGTGGAGTCAAGACACTTGTCATACCGCTGAATGGGGGCAGAAAACATTCCAACAATACAAAGGAAATGAACTCTTGAACAGGCCTAACGTGACATTTGGGGTCTCGCTACAATATACCCTGGGAAGTCTGAAAAAAACACCACGGGGCTGGGCCCAGCAGAGTGGCTCCCTCACTCCCGCACCAGGCTCCAGGGAAGACAAATGGCTTCCCTATTTCCAGAGCAGAGGGGCAGGGGCCCTGGCTGGAGGCCCCGCGCGGCCCTCACCAGCGAGGGGGTCAGGAGGCTGAGATGCTGCTTGTGGCGGGACCTGATCCGACCCCCGTCCTTCCGCCACCCTCGCGTGTTTGGGGTCTGTGTGTGCACGTACCCGAGAAGCCCCAGAGAGCCAAGGGCCCCAGCAGAGACGGTGCGACCTGCAGGAGGGGGGTGGAAAGTTCTGGAAGGAGTGTGGCCAGCTTGGCCTTCCCTGAGGCTGTGGCCTCCACCGAGGCCGCCCCCACCTCTCCACCTCTCCCTCACCGACTTCTTCCCTCCCTTCTCTGCACCTCTCCTCAGCCTGCACCTGGTGACGCGACTGGCCCTTTTCCAGGGGTGAGGGGACCCCGCGGGGGCCCCTTCCTAGAAGCCCACCTGCAGGCCGGCTTGCTGGGAAGGGGCCCCTCCTCGGCGGCCCCCACCACCCCGAGCCACTTCCTGGAAGCGGCCGCCGTGGCTATTCCGCTCCTTGTCAGCACTAAGCCCGCAGAACGCAGACAGTGAGGGCCTTGTCCTCCGGGAGCCCGTGCTCCGTCACCGAACACCTGGCCGGACGCAGGCGGGCCCCCGGGTCCTTGGGGGGCGGCGCGGGCCTGGGGCTGGACCCGTAAACAGACATGAGTGCCAAGCGCAGGGGCCCTGTCCCTGCTTCTGCCCAGAGCTCGCACACGCTAGCACGTGCCAAGGCCCCGAGGATGCCTGTGTGGCAGGGCTGGGAGGTGGCTGCGGGCCCAGAGCTGAGAAGGGGTCGGGGCTTTGTGCAGACCCCCAGGGGTCCCACATGTTGCAGAAACCCACCTGCTGGGATGGAAGGCTGGGCGGCCCCCAGGAGCAGCTGGTGGGGAGGGTGTGCAGGATGGAGGCAGAGGCCTAACAAAGCATTTACCTTGAGCCTCATCGGAAGACAAGCCCCCAGGTGTTTGGGGTGGGGGTGACCAGTGGGCAGCAGTGTTGGGAGCCTGTGGGTCTGGTCTGCAGCCCAGAGGGCCGGGAGGAGGAAGGGAAGGACTCTGTGGTCAGGGATGGGAGGGATCGCCTGGGGCAGAGGGCTGCCTGCCTGACAAGGGGGCACGGAGCTGCCCTGCCCAGCCCAGGCCCCAGGCGAGGTATGCACTGGAGGGGATAAGGCAGGGCTTCAGGGCAGGGCTGGGGACACAGATGCTCCCCAGGTTGGCCCCGCACCCCCCCATCTGGACTTGGGGAATCACGATCAACCCGGACCATGGAGGACAGAGGCCTGGCTCTGGGGCTTGGGGGGCGGGGGAGAGGACTGTGGGGGCCACATGTGGTGGGGTGCAGAGCACAGCCTAGGCACAGGGCCTCCTCCCACCCCCGCCCTCCCCTCCCGGCCCCCGCTTTTCACGTGCAGGCAGTGGGTTGGGTGGACCGTGCAGGAGACGGGGCCCGGGGGAGGGCGGGGGCCCCTTGGGTTTATTCAGGTGGCTTTCAGATCACGCCCCGTGCCCCGTGCGTGGCGGGGCCCACGGCAGCAGGAGAAGCACACACAGAGCCCCCGACGGGCTCCCCATTGGTCGGCAGTGACATCAGCCCTGTGTCAACAGCACCCTTCGGGGTTTATGGAGCAGGACGGACCTGCTCAGCCTCCGCCCTGCGCCCCGCGCCCTGCGCCCCACCCCCAGCCCACACACTAGCCCACTGTTCTGGGGTCTGGGGGTAGCGGCCTTGCCATGGTGCCCCAGTACAGCCTGCTCCTCCACACCCCCCAAGCCCCCCACGTCCCTAGCAGAAAGCACGGAGGGCCATGGGCCCGGCCTCCAGCTCCTGGTCCCTCTGGGAGGGACCTGGAGCACAGGCCCGTGGCTTGGCCATGGTGGGGGGGCCCCGCATGGCCTCTGGGGTGTATCTCAGGCTGAGTGATGTGGAG